CATGCTTGAGGTATTCGGCCAATCACAACGCACTGGATAGCTGGCCAATCACAGCACACCTCGCTTTTCAGACCGATGAGCTTTGTAAAAATCGACGCGTTTCAGAAAGGCGGGGCATAGAGGAGAAACAATAATGTAAAGTATGTGGAAAATAATGTTTTTGAACCTTAAACCGCATAAACACATTTCATTACACCAAATACACAAAATAATGTTTTTTTTAGCAACATCATATGACCCCTTTAAGTATACAAACTTAGTATACCAAAATTACAAATGCAGGGCATTTTTATTAAGTACATAAATATGCAATGTATTTGTTGTATACCCAGCATGAAATAAACATATTTCAAATATATTTTAGTATATTTATTTTTCACTAGGGTGTTTATTTCTTAAACACAAATTTTGATGCAAAAAATTTTACCGATTAAAATACAGGCGACGACTAAGTAAGCCATTTGTAGGCTGATGTCTTGTGACATGCTCAACATTTTGCCATGTTTGAAACTCAGCTGTATTGCTTTTAGTTTTTAATAAGGATTTAAAAATTGAAGTTGTCAGATTAGTTCAGCTGAAACCTTATAACAAAGGCAGAATCCATTCATCAAGTCTTAACTAATCAATTAATGAAAACTGGAAGCTTAACAGGGGTCTCTGCGATTGATTGGAAGTGTCTGATGGAGTCAGTGAGCCTTTTATAATACTTGTTAACATTGCAGGATGTTGGCAGTGAAATTGAAGTGTTGCCCCTTCAATTACTTTATTGATTTAATTAACAGTGTTTAATACACAGGCCAAAATGGAATTTAAATTTGATAGAGGCAATAAAACCCTGTTTTTGTAAAGAAGACCAGAGTCATCAGAGGATAGAGTGGGCAGGGTTGCATTGCCGAATTCCTGATTGCTTTCTTTTCCTTTGCACGGGATGTTTGTGTCAAAGTTTCACGTGCTGCTCGTCTCGCCTTTTTTAAGATTTAATGTCAGATTGGCCCCCAACCCCCCGAACACACACCCTCACTGCTCAAGTCATAATTAAGCAAACAAACACATCACTCTTGGAATATTCCAAATTATTTTGTCTCTGGCTCACTTTCACATGTCTGGTTAATTGGAAAGAGCAAGCAATTAAGTATTAGCTCAATAAATAACAGCTGGAGTGAGGTGGCACTGTCAGGCGAACAGAAGAGAGAGAGAGTGAGGAGAGAACTTTTAAAGAGCTGTTGAATATAGACTGCAGAGCATTGTGGGAATTCTCAGTTGGGAATTCTATCAGACCTAAAGGCCCATACTGTCAGACTTCCTGCAATGGTTGTGCATCAAAGACAGAAGTTTGTTTGGAAACAAGGGCTTGTTGGAGCATGTGAATTAAACATTTCAACTGTCAAATTTCACCAATAGTTCCAAAATACTGTATTTTAAATGCCTTTTGAATGGATTTTATCGCTCATTTACACTTGCATCTATTTAAACATTGCACACGAAAGCATGTCACAGTAGGTCTGACGTCTTGACATCACATTTAGTCACATGTCTTCAAGTGAAAGTCAGATTTAAAAGCTACAGCAGAGGGAAGATTTTATTCAAGTTAAAAATGTCAATCTGTTCCTGACATAAAGCAATCATATGGCTTCAGATAACATGGAAATATAATACATGGGCCATGCAGACTACACAAAAAAAAAAAAAAAGAGGATTTCTAGTAATTGCTAGTAAATTTTACAAATAATTACAAAGAAATGGCAGGTGCCACATTTAATTAAATGTGAAATTTTGAAGTGGAAAGACTAAAGTAGGATTTTCTTGTAAAACGTACTCCGATTAATAATAACATTATTTCTAATTATTTATAACTTCGAAATGTTCAAATGTTTTTTAAAAATTTGTTTTTTTTGTGTGCTTTTAAAAAATTATAAATAAACGTTTTTGTTTTTTTAATTTAAATTTAAAAAATGTACTTTTAAAGTGAAATTTTATCATTTCACTTTCATTGGAAAAGAGCAGCTTGGACATTCTGCTAAACATCTCCTTTTGTGTTTTCTGAAAGAAAGAAAGAATATATAGAATATCACATCTCAATACTAACTTGCGTAGGGCGAGTTGGCGGCAGAGCCGTTCAGGAAGCTCGGGGAGCCGGTCAGGTTGGTCATGCCGCTGTTGCCGTAGCCGTTCATGCTGGTGGATACCGTACTGTAACTGCTCTGCTGAGGGGTGGAACTGGGCACATATCCGTGTGGTGATACGCTACTCGTGTTACGACTGAAACCTGCGGCCGGACACAGAGAAAACTTCAACTGAGCCTTATGTTAAAGTAGTGTGGCAGTATTCAGCTTTGATAAACTTCATCCTATATATCAAGTGTGTGTATGTCTGTGAAGAGGGAAAAAGAAAGAGAATAACATCTCACCCTGGTTTCCACCCTGAGACGACTCTGAGACATTAACGGCGAGCTGTCCAGTGAAGGAGTTCACTCCCATCATGCTTGCATGGACGGAGCTGTTGGTGAGGCCGGTGAGCTGGTTGTGGTTTCGTGGCACATTGTACAGGGCTTCAGCAATGTCTGCTGCTCGCTTAAGAATGATTTCCTAAGGAAAAATGAGCCATCATCTCTCACAATTGAACACTTTCATTTTCACTTTGGGTGTTGTTTCAACTTGATTGACTGATTTTGGCAACACTTTATTTTGATGGTCGCTTGTAGACATTCTGTTTACTATAAGCAACTTGGCAACTAAATGTCCACTAGCTTAATATCTGCTAAGACTTTATTTTGATGTTTCCCCAACACACATTCTACTGGCTATAAGTAACTTTGCAAGTACATGTCAACTTATTCTACTAAACCTAACCTGACAGTCAAATACTCTACTAATACTCTAATGAGATTTATAGTTGACATGTATTTGCAAAGTTACTTATAGTCAACTGAATTTCTAGGGAGAAAAAAAAAATCTATTTAACTTTGCATTATATGAAGGTCAAATTAAAAATGTTATATTATGACTATTTTTTGTACTTTTCAAATGCTTTTTATATGTTATTGCTAAAATTTTTCTTGTGTCAGAGTTTCAATAATAAAATATGAAAATGCAACAAAAAGTTACAAATTGTTACAACCTAAATAAAAATGAACAATTTTGATATGTATTGTCTTAAATTAGTGCTGTTAAACGATTAATCGCGATTAATCGCATCCAGAATAAATGTTTTTGTTGACATAGTATATGTGTGTGTGCTGTGTATATTTATTATGTCTATTTAAATACGCACCCATGCATGTATATAATTTAAAACTGTTATTTATATATACAGTATATATATAATATATATATGTATATATAAATTACATGAATATCAAAATATATACTGTATGTGTGTGTATTCATACATATACATAATAAATATACATAGTACACACACATACTGTATATTACTCAAACAAAAACGTTTATTTTGGATGCGATTAATCGCGATTTGACAGCACTAATTTAAATATGTAACACAAATTACATCCGTTGTGATTTCATGTCCTTCTTGGCTAACTATTTTGACACTAAAATTTTTCTCCTTCAAAAGTTAGTATACTTGTTTATGAAAGTAGCCTTAGAAAAACAAAGTAATCACTCATTTTATTCAAAAATATTTGAAATGCCATTTTCAAATTGTCATTTCCATCACAGAACACTATTAAACCCAATACATTATTTGATGTGTTGGAAATGCCACCACAACCTTTCAGTTTTTAGAAGGAAAAAAAAATCATAATTGTTCTGTAATGTTACATCATTGGATATTATTTATAGACAAATTAAATAAACTTTTTTTTTTGTACTTTTTTTTTTTTTTTAAATATATATGTTAAAATACAGATAGAAACACCCATATATTTTCAACAAGTGTTAACAGTCAACTGTTAGTGAAGGGAATTCATGCGACTGTCATTTATCAATGATAATCAAGGAGTTTCTTCCTCACCTGGTTGTTATGAGGCATTCCATAAAGTGCTTCCACTAGATCTGCTGCTCTCTTCAAAATCACTTCCTGTATGCACAACAAAACAAAGGAAATATTAATGATAAAATAAAGTTTGAGAAACAATTTCATCCTCAGTTCAATCCATACACAGTTACAATCCATAATACTTGTCACTTGTAACTATACAATGTGATGTTGTTCTCTTTCACAGATGAGAAAGGGTTGAATTTCCGTTTAATAACATCGGCGATCACAGCCAAGTGGAACACATGGAGCTGATGTTTGCTCAATTGTTCTGTGTCTCTCAGGATGAAAAAGTGCAGTATTTCAGCAAACATCTGCTTTGCGTTGAGGAAGGACAATGCAATCTATGTTTGCAGAGAAGGTCACTCGGTTTCACAGTACTGGGCAATAACTCAGCGGAGAGCAAGCTCTCGTAAGAGCTCTTGCGATGACAGTACATCAGAGATGGAATCGATGCGTTCCCGCTAATGAGAAGTAATTACTTTAACATATGCTTTTCTGCGCAGTCACATGATGGGGAAGAAGGACGATGGGTGTCATGATTGTTTAAGTGCAATGGCTGGAAAACATTAGCGACTTTTGTGTTGCTTTAATAATGTGATTATGTGGCTTGTGCAATATCTTCACATTATCAAACTAGCATGGGAGAAGTGCACCAAACGCGTGCGCTTGTCTTGGCCAGTAAAAGTTTAGACACGAAATCCTGTGTTTTGAACAAATTTTCACAAACAATGAATTAATGATGCAATACGGATCACATCATGTAGGTTTGTCATTTGACATCTCTCATAAATCAAATGCAATAACAAGTCAAAATACCCTTATGGAAAAACCACATGAATTTTACATTTTCAAAAATGGCAACTTTTGTGTGATTTTGAAACCCATTACCAATGTTTCACATGTGAAACTTTTAAATCTCAAATGATGATTAAATATTTTCACACACTGGGCCTCATTCATTAAACAGAAGCAAACAAAAACTCTAATAATATATTTTTCAATTCTTCAATTGTTCTGAATTGCACTGTTATAAATGTAAATAGTTTTTTTTTAAACATTTTTTGTGTTAATTGTTGCATTGATATATATATACAAAATCATTCCAGAATTGAAAACCATTCTTACATAAATTATTGCATGTTATAAATGTAATCATAAAACCAACTAGAAATTAACTTTTTACATTAAATGTTGCATTAATAGAAATGCAAAATGTGAATAAAACCATTCTTACATTGATTGGTGCATTGATACAAATGTAAATTGTTTGTAAAACAATTCTTCTGTTAAATGTTGCATTGGCATAACTGTAAATCATTTATAAAACCAGCCTTATGTAAATTATTGCATTATTGAAATGTAAAGTAGAACTATTCATATATAAATTGTTGCATTAAATATTTAACATTTCTTATCTAAGTTGTTGAATTCATGAAACATTTAATCATAAACGGTTCCATTCCTGTGAATGTAAATCATTTGAAAAAATATTTTTGCAAAAATAATTATAAATATTAATTCTTAATTATATAAATAAAACAAATCAATCGTAACAACTTTTTGTTAATCAGTCATAAATATAAATTGTACATAGAATCAATCTTATGCTAAATGAAAATATAATGTACATAAATGTCAATTGTTGCATGAATTAATGGTTTTACAAACAATTTACAAAGAAATTTGTTCTGCTCATATATACAAAATAATGAGGTCCTTAAATTTTACATGCAATTAAAATTCATGTTTTTTTTTTTCATAAGGGTACTGTTGTTGGATGCTTGAATTGCAGAATCGTTCACATGGTCCTCAAGCGTTTTCCTTATATTTCTCCGTCCTGTATGTTGGCGAGTGGGAGGTCTTTGGGAGAAGTTAATGCAGAAGGGCGCTGCTCCAGCTAACCGAGTGACAGGCAGAAAATTGCTCCCCCCTCTGAATGCAACCTTCACCAGGATCTTACCCCTTAGCATGTGTGTGTGAGCGCTGTGTTGGAACATATTGCCTCCCAATCAGCCCTGGGGTGTGTCGCACCGCGCACACACACACACACACACACACACACACACACACACACGGACACAAACGCACAAACAAAACTTGACGGGGGGTCAGGCAAGCAATGAGGAGTTTTAGTGCGCTGTCCAAGGTGCTAAATTCACTCAATTATGGCCGTGCTGGCACTGTGTTAACCTCTCATTATCGTCACGGGGAGCTGTTAGAGCGATAGATCCTGCAGCGAGAGTGAGGAGGCGGAGGAGAGTCCCTCTGCAGCCCAGCGTGTGGGATACTGGCGAGCGAAAGGGCCTGAATGAACGTGGGGCGGCCTGGAGGCAGTGAATTCCCAGTATGTGCGAGTTCAGCCAAAACATCAATCAAATTCAGCGGAAAAGATGAGGAGCAGAGGTCGATGATGAATACTGTATTAGCAGAAACACTGAGCTCTATACATCACAAATGTAATATGTTTTCCTATGCCTTTGGACCAGGTACTAAGACTCATCCATAAAATTCAAACAGTTATCAGTTCGGTTAAGAAATCATCAAACCCACATGAATGAAAACATGGAAATCATGACAAAACTAGAAATCAAACACAGCTATAAGTTAAAGACAATCCATAATTATCCTTACTGGTCAACACCTTCAAAAACCAATGATTATCCCAACATTACATGACTGTGCCTCACATTACAGGAAGTATACCACGTTATATACCATGTATAACATGTTCAGATCATTTTGATAAAGCCATTTACTGTTCTGCATTTGTTCACAGTGTTGAGTAGATCAGCAAGACATCAGCAGATGATGACATCATAAGCTTCATATACAATGATATCAGCAAATTTGGTTTCCCGGAAAAGTTTTTAGTTGACATTTCCTAAAACCTGCTATTTATTTAACCCTATAAAGCCAAGTCCTCTAGATCATTATTGCATTGCGTTACATTATATGTTTTGTCCAAAATAAAAAGTACAAAGCTTTGATCATAAAACTAAGCATTTAAATATCACTTTACTAAAACATTATTGGGAGATACATAGTGACAACTGATATTTATATGCATTTTATGTATGTATGTTAAGTAGTTATAAAGATCTCATTGATATACATTGCAAGCTATTCATTTAATTTTACATTTGACCATATAAATGACTACATCTGCAACAAATTGGATACATTTTTTAGTCTTTTATAATAGTATATGACAATATGCATATATATATATATATATATATATATATAAAATTTTATAATAGTTCATAGTTTTTTCCTTCTCAAGCTCCATATTCTCCTGTATAGTACAATATGAGCTATAAAAGATGTACCTGATGTAACAGGCAAATATGAAACTCAAAAAACACATATGCAAACTTTTTTTTTACTTTGTCTAAAGGTTTAATAAACGGTTCCATTAAAAAAAATCTAACTTATTTTACAAGTCACTTTAAAGTCAGATTTTACAGGGTTAAAGAAGGAAATGGACTGAGATGAAACTGTGGCCTTTGAAAACATTTTTTTTTTCTAAGGCTAAGCTACTGTATGGCACCGTCTTTTGGATATTATATATCATGATTTTTGTCTTCTTTTGGAGTTTTTATGATTAAATTGAAATGCTTTAACATTGTTTTTTGTGTCCATGGAAGCTATAAAGTCATGCAGCACTGGAGCAACTTCCTTAAGAAAACAAATACTAAAAACTGATTAATAAAGTCTCCAAAATGGGCAGGTTGTGTCAGATCTCATTGTCAATGTAAATGTCCAGTAGAGCATTCAAACTTCTGTTATCCCCTCTAATCCTTTCATACGGGCTACTACACCGTCTGTCCGTCTGAGCTTCTCAGGTCTGTCTGGCTTTGAACTGTGAACATTACAGCCTCTATAGGAAACTAAACTGAGAGGTTTAGATAGGAGAAACACTCAAAAAAATGAACTTGGGGAAAAATGTCCAAAATTATATCTCTAATGACTGATAAATGTGTCAGAAACAAAGAAATAGATTATATTGCATATATTGTACAGCAAATGATTGCTTAATCAGGTGTATCACATTCCAAAAACTGATTAAAAGTGACCATTTCACATTGCTGTATGCATTTTGCATGAAAAACCTATAAATAAAAAATATCTTACATACATTTTAGTTCTATAAAATGCATTACATACATAAAAACTCTATCAATCTGCTTACAGTAGATTCATTGTATTGTAAACATACAGTAACTTCCTAAGCAAAAATTATTTTACTTCTAAAAAGTTTAGCTTTTGTTTACAGTTGGTCTGTAAATCAGCTTTATATAAAAACAGTAGAAGTCTATGGCATGTCTTCATTTAAATCTGTGTGTGTGTATGTGTGTGTGTGTGTGTGTGTGTGTGTGTGTGTGTGTGCCAGTCTCTGTGGCGTCCCTGTGTTTGGCTGGTATGATTGAGGTGAGCAGTTGAAAAGAGAGCCCCGTCAACAAACTGTTATTACCTCAATAAGGACAAGAAAATCGATGGGGCGGAGAGGAACAGAGCGTGTGTGTGTGTGGTGCCGCCGCTGCCAATGGGACAGCAGCCAAGCCCAGAGAGATGGAGAGAGAGCGAGAGATTATGTATAATTCTCTGCACACACACACACACACATACACACACACACACACACAAACACTCACATGTATATACAATAAGCTCACAGCACATGACCAAACATACACACTTGTGAAATGAACAAGCAAAATACACTCAAAGCTCTAAACAGAAGATGAACTTAGAAAGGGAATTTTGAAAGTTTCTGTGATTTTGCCAACTATCTTCCTGAAACAGCATCATGGAATAATATTCCCATCAAACAATCCTATTTTAAGGCTAGAGAAAGGTGGTGGTCTAGAGAAAGACTCTGACAGGTTGATTCTCATCAACATATAATTTGCCAGAGATTAAAAATAATATCGGAGTGTCCGTTTACACTAACTCCACTCACTAACAGAAGTCAACACTACAAAAGACATTTCTCAAACAACAGCTCCAGTGGCGTAGATGGTAGAGTGTGTATTGTAGTTTTTTTGACGTCATCGACCTGGGTTCAAATACGCCTTTTGCCGATTTTTTTTCCTCTCCCTTTTCAAATCTCATAACACGTCGGAAAGCATTTATTTTCAATAAAAATTTAGGAAATAATCACAAAATTGAAAATAAAGTATCGGGTAGGTGTAGGGAGGGCTTTTGTCCCAATGAGGTGGCATCCATTTAATAATTTGAATTAAAATTATAATTTATACTCAATACGTTATTATTGCATACTGTTTTATAATCTAGCGTAGCGTCAGTTCTGGCAGGTCACGTTAGTCAAGCTCGCATCAGCTGACTCTCATACTGTTTTATAATATACTACAATACTGAGGTGCAGAAAATTGCCACTATTTGCAGTATAAATAGCAGAAAATCCTTCTATTTTAACATAGTGTAAATAGAATCTATAGCTATTTGCACTTAGTGTAAATAGCATATCGCTAAGAAAATACTGCTATTTTCACTTAGCTTAAATGGCCGCTGCCAAATAATATAATATTAATCTAATAGCTCATACACAATCTCAATATAATATAATATAATATAATATAATATAATATAATATAATATAATATAATATAATATAATATAATATAATAATATAATATAATATAATTGTCACGAATCCAGTCCGTGGTCTTCTGTCTGCTCGCCACCAGAGGTCGCCTTCTCATTACATTGACTCTCACACCACACAAACTGTTGCACGTCACCCTGGACTACATTTCCCATGCTCCATTGCACTGATTGGACTCACCTGCAG